CGTTGACTACTGCTGTTGATGCGGAGGCTGTACCTGAGTGACATTGATGAAGACGAGGGCGATCGAGTGGGAGTGCTGTTACTAAGTGAACTGCTATTGTTTTGAGCTGTGCCTACGCTACTACAAGGTCTATGGCGGCAACTAGGATGCGCGTGTGTGATCGCGTCGACTTCCAAGTGCGTCGCCGAGATCTAATGGGAGTGTGAGCTATAAACTTACCTGCGTGTCGAGCGCCAGTGCATTGCAGTCTGCCAGTGTCCGGTGCCCCCACCTACGAGCCACCGTCCACTACCAGTGTCTGCAAAGACACATCCCAAGGACACTTATGCGCCTGGCAGTGCAGCTTGCGGCTGCACTACAGCCGGCTATACTGAGTACACATGCGTGCAATGGCGAAGGACTATACCAAGGACTGTATGCACAAGGACATCGTTGGCTGTGCGCTGCCAAGATGGTGTACTCAAACGAGAGTGCATTTATCTAGAGTTTAGTATTGATTTATTTGCTATTTGTATACTAATCTACTTTTGCGGTACAGCGGTGTTCTGGCGGAGGCTGCTCCACACTTTGCGTTTTGACGCCTGCCGCTCACCAGAGAGCAGCAGAGAAGAGAGCAGCCTCGCCAGACACCGCAGTCCTGTCGCGGCCTTTTGCCCGGCACTTACGTGGTTACGTTACTTCCTGATTAGTTTCCTAAAGTTGACATTTAAGTGTATTTACATTTAAATGGCTCCTACTCTTAGAAGCGATCGACACATGGAGAACAATCCCCCCGTGACGAACCCTACGTCACCACCCCTCCGTCCCGAAGATGGCAGCAATCTTCCGAACCTACTCGAACTGTGAGTCGTTAATGTGATGGAAGTCGTTTCTATCCATGTCGACTAACTTCAGAAGTTTAAGTAGTCTATCCGCGTTGGCAAAAATTGACTACAAATGCTATCAAGAGTAACGGGGTCAACAGCACCTTGCGCTTGAGGAAATCGGCTTTCGAGAGTATACAAACTCTTAGCGAACTGCAGTTCACAGGTCCTTTGTCAAAGGAAGCGAAGTAACCGGTTAGAGGTACGATGCTAACGGAATGTATTTATAGGTAGGCAAGCTTGAGTTACTTTACAAACTATGAGTCACCTGCCAATAGTTGGCCTTTTGAAAATCTGGTACCATGTACCAGATATCCAGAAGTGTGACCTGTCATCTTCATGTAACCAGAGGTACACTTGGGTACGTACCCCGTTAAATTCTTTTATGTCAATCGGAACAATAGGCCAAAGTATTTGTTACCAATTTGGGGGGTTGCACCGCCAGACTCCCGCGATGGAACGAAATTGCACGGGGAGTGGAACGAGTCAATTTACTGCGGAGCTCGTCGCTGACACACCTACGCGCTCACTCCCTTCCATATATATTAAGCGTGGTATAAGCATAAGTATCGGCATGTATTCAGTATTGGATCTACAAAAACGAGCTGCAGACTACGCTTTCCAAATTGCTTTCCCAACTTTCTACCTCACTCTCTCATGTTAAGGCCGATACATAGTTGTAAGTAAGAAACCAGTGGAGTGACAAACGCCGACGGCTATGAGCGGCACTTTACGGGAATAAGCACTGACTAATTAGGAATTCAGAGCTACAGTAAAAATAATAGCATGCTAGGCTCACGTGTCCAAGACGCTTGCATGTTGCTATCAAATAAAATCTTGCACAGAACCTACCCACCTTACACAAAAAAGAACTATGACGAAACTGTAATCCCGATGTTGCTTACCACTGGCACCGAAGCGCAAAGACGAGCACAACGTATAATCGTCTCGCCTCCCACGCTGAACAAGAACCTCATTGATAGTGTTAGGCTTCTTGTCTACAGTTATAGTGGGGAAGGCGCCAGTTGCCTTCACCTAACGCTACTTCGGTATCTATCTATCACGGTCGCACGAACAAACTTTCTGCGTCAAGTTGATAGAAAGGTGAAGGCGTGAGCGCTCGGCATGCACATTACCACCGCTTATTTCTTCCTACCGTTTTAGGCCGTAAAGGCAGATTCATGAGTCGTTTTCAGGACGCCTCAATACCAGCGAGTCCAGAGCTTGACTTTCTGCCGGTGATGAGGGACATATGTCCATGCTCGCGTACATTCTCGGTGCCCGACACCTCATTTGTGTATTACAACCAGAGGTTTCTAGTAGCTCTAATTGTAGGGACTGTACTATACTTGCGCACTACGTTAGCTCATGTTACTACTTGATTCCTAAATGAGTGCTTGAAAATTCAAAAATATTAATATCAGCGAATGCCGGCTGTACTATTCTGTTACTCCCATCCATGTTATCAAGAGGTAGTATGGTGCTGCCTACCGACGCCTATTGTTCGTGCTCTTGTAAACTTTTTACACTTGTGTCTCTAGTCTATCGCTCAGACAAGATTAATCAGTGACAGTGCGGGACCAAAAGCAGCGGCAATTGAACGATGTGCCAGTGCAATTGGGGAAACCCCTACGCAATTTTTTTTAGCTACGTTGCAGACCGATTAATATATATCGTGCTCTACGGCTCATCTGACATTCTACTCTGGATCATTCGCTATGGTTTGCCTTTGAAAAGGGCGTTCACTACGGGGTGAAATTTGACCACGCCAACAAGCTTCGTGAAGCGGTTTGAAACAAAACAAACGAGATCGTATTCATTAAAAGCGGCAATACATCATACACTCGTTTCCTGCTCGAGTTTGGCTTCAGAAGTACTGTTTCTCTGCTAGTGCATCATTCGGTCTCGCGTATCCCCCATTCTCATCCTTTACCCCGCAGTAAAAAAAATATCGTGCAGTGAGCGGTCAGACAGCTGACAGATACACGTGAAGCCGGGTTGCCCCTTCCTCTACTACTTTCACAAGTAAAAAAAGACACTACTTCGCCATCCACATGACCCAACCATGTGATGGGATATTATTTTGCAAGAACGCTGACATATTAGCTAATATTTATTGTTTAGGCCTGGATATTATCTTAATGCAATACTATATAAAAAAAGCTCATTTAATTTTTTTAATCTAATCTGCCGAAGATGGCATTCTAGCGTATGTTTGGATTTGGGTTGGGTGAGTTTGTAAGCTGATATGGGCATTATTCAACGTTTTACTAGGGGTGTTAACAGAAAGGGATTATACAGGCTGTGTAAGAAGTGATGACGCTTGGGTGGAGAAATCCGCCCCATCGAACCGGTAATACTACTAATATTCTTTTAATGTCGATTTAACGATTTATGCAGCGTGTTTTTTTAGTAGGTACCTAAAAAGACAATCAGCAGACGTGGTGAGAGGACTGTGTGTGGGTACGATGCAGCGGTGCATCGAAAGAACGCGTAACCACAATGTTGCTCGGCGATATCGATGGTAACAAGTACGCGCCGTTTGCCATTACTGCACAAGTACTTCTTTACTTGCAGCAGGCTTACGCGCAATTACATAAGTCAAGCGAATTAGTTGATCAGCCGCCATGGAGGAGGTAGAGCCCCAGGCGTCACCAAAACGCATCAACCCGGCTTTGGGTTCGCCAGTCCAACCACTTCCATCACTGAGTGTTGCGCTGTGGACTCGAAACGTGTTTCAGCTACAGCGCGCAGCAATGATTGAACACACCCTGAAGCAGGAGCACTACTCAAATGCATACCATTGGAAGCTCTGAGTACAAAGTCGCACCGTTCGGTTCGCTCTCCCCAGATAGACTCAGAGCTCACAAAATTAGCTTGACTGGCTTACATAAGAAAATTAAAAAAGCTAAACTACCGTATTTCGCATGTAGACCGATACACCCCATGTTATGATGGATAGGTGTCCCTTCAAAAATGATGTAAAAAACTGAAGAAACAAAATCTCAATTTTTAGACAGTTGTCTCTTCGATGATGTCTTGAACGGCGGCGTCATCACTTTCACTACCGGTAGCCCTTTTAGTAGCGAAGGTTTATCGAGTTGGGTCACCAACTGACTCGACGCAATGCAGCTCGCACTCGGCTCCAGTTTGCTTCGCTTAAACCCATTAGAAATTGTAGTAGCAGGAAGTGATTTCCACGCATGCTGAATCCAGTCACATATCAGGATCCTATTGGGTCTCGCAGCTTGAATGTTGTGCCACCAGCTCGGGGGCGGGTGATCTGTGCTTGCATGTCGTTCTGCCATAGCAGACGCAGGCATGCCTTCAGTGGGAAATTCCAGGCGACATCCGCTGGCTGCGAGACAGCGGTCTCGCTCTTCGGCACTTTCATTAGCACTACGTTGATTGATGCAGCGTAAGTTCTCCACCTTTTGCGTCCAGTGGCCACTAAAATCATCCCACAAGAGCAGCACCGGCTCTTTTAGAGAGGGACGCCATCCAAAGTGGTGTTTTAAAATAATAACATACAGATCTTGATTCCATTACCCTAAAAAACAAAAAAAATAGTTTCAGCTGGCTAACTTTCAATTAGCGCACGTAAAACTATACCTTTGCTGTTACCATGAATTAGCAAATTGTGTTCTGCTTGAATCACCTTGACGACGTCCCAAACACGAATACCGAACCCATTCCTTTTTCCAGTATTTTCTGCTTGGGTTTCTTCGCTTTTTGAGGGCTTACCTTTCATAGCTATGCTTTCCGCTTCGTGGCGTCACTATTCATTCCTCAGTCTGTTTTATGACGTAAGTGGGGCAAGGTATGCGGTATTGCAGTTGAAAAATGCCATCGCAAGCCGGAGCCCTTAGCGAACTCGTGTGTACCTTATTACGCTCAGCTTCTAATAGTGAATTCTTTATAATAATAATAAAATGAGGCTTCCCGACGCTATCAACACAGAATGGATCGTCTGGAATACATGAATAACGTGAAAGCATATCCAAAGTCTTACTCCATGATTGATTACCAGCGCTATCTCTAGTATTGTTGCGCATAACAGCGAGCAAACAGTTCTCGTCCCATCGCTTCTTGTAGTATGCAGCAATGAGACGCCCATCCTCTCGCAAAGCTTCCCACTCAGTGCGTTCTTCCGGCTTGAGGGAAGGTAACAGATCCGTGGTCAAATAGAAATCCTTTTCGGTGTCATGTAACATCATCGACTGGGTGACAAAGTCATGACTGAGACGCTCGTGACCGCGCACAACCGCCATCCTGCACAATGGGTCGTTACTGAACACCACGCGCTTCCCGACAGGAAGTTTACGCTTGAGCGAGCGTCCAACGCCATTCTGCTGGAATCCTCCCTTCGGTAAACCTGTTATGTCCATGAGAGTGTTAAGAATATCATACTGGTCTGCAGCGTCGTCGATAACGAGGCCCACTGCATCTCCCAGTCGACCTTCAGCAATGATCGCGGCTGGGACACGCGTCACAGACTCCTCATGTAAGTAGCAATTGTCGATTTCTGGCGCTTGGCCGTGGTCGCCTACAATGACAACGATAGTGTCTTTGAGGAACCCTCCTTTCTCCATACGGTCCATGAAGTTGTTAAGCTCCATATCGGTACAATACCTCACTTTCATGTACCTTTCGATCCTGCCTGCGTGTTCCTCGCCTTCGTACATGGCTGAAAAGTCAGGCTTTGCAGACTTTTCGAACCAGTAGGGCCATGATGGGTACGGTTCGTGACTTGAAATTGTGTAGTGAGTGATAAACATGGGCTTCTTTGGCTCCCCACGCTCCATTCTTTTTCTTTGCTTCTTCAGCTGGATCAGTAACAAGTCGCCTACAAGTTGAAAACTGACGTCATCATGGACACCCCAGCCAAACCCTCGATGTTCAGTGCCTCTCCAGTCAGCAGGACTAATTTTGAACCTTTCTCCCGCTAACGACTTCATCTTATTGGCGTCCCACACATTATCATATCCATGCGAAGGCAAGAAGGTGTTCCAGTTGTCAAATTCTAATGTGGATCCCGTAGTGAAGAATGTCTCATATCCCTTTTCAGAGAATAATTGCGGTAGTCCCCACAGCTGGGTTTCTAACTTACCGCCAGTGAACCCGCTCTGTGTGCTGCTGCGATACGGAACTTGAGCGAAAAGCAAACTTTCTAGAGAGCGACTCGTGGGGATACTGGACCAGATATTGCGCAGGGCAACGCCTCGCTTCGCCCATCGGTGGCGTTATTGTCAAATTTGTGCCTTTGAACAAGTTTGACGGGTCTTCCTCTCCCACGAGGTATCGCGAGTCTCGGTACCGGAAAGATTCCACTCCAATGATTAAAACATTCGGCGGGTTGTCGTTGTCAATTGTGACGTTAAAGGCGAGCTCTCCTTTGAAGCCTGCGGTGCGTCTGAATCGTGTATCATCTCCAAAGCGCTCATGTTCTTCGGCCTTGTCAATAAACTTCTCTACCCACGGTCCATCCCCCATTAGGTTTGCAAGTTCGACCTCCATAGGAGCAGGCTCAAATATGTGGAGGAGTAACTCGTTCAGTGTCATATTTAACCCTGTGTATACCACGAGCGGAGTGCAAGCGATCCGGACTGCTACTGCAAGCGCAGGTTCAACCACGAGGCCCAGGATGACGACAGCAGCACGTAGAGCTTGGTAGCTTGTAGTTGGCGCTTCGGTCGCCTTCTTTAAGGCATTATCAGTCGATCTTGTGCCATCTTCTAGAGTCATAGCCTTGTATTTGACACCTCCCGCACCGTTCTTCGACGATTTACCGATAGTAACGGGATTCAGTACTAGCTGGGTTGGGTTCCAGAGTGCCAGATTAGCCCACCTTGTCCAGACTCGCACCAACGCAAACAGTGCAGCAATAATAGCAAGATAACATGCAGTCACGTAGGCTACCTGGACTTCATCACTGGATATCGGAGCGTCTTTGAGATGTTCTCTCTCTCTCTCTGATCAACGAAGCGACGAGACTGAACGAGAAACGCATGTTGCGGTAGACCACAAGCATCATATCAGCTATGCAAGGCGCCATCACGCCTAGAAACAGCAGCCACGAGACCGTGAAATTTGCAATCTCCCCAACAATCTTCAACGACATCCCGCAAGTTGCTTTCAGGCGCTCTAGCGCCATTTGCTTGAGAGTATCGAACATCCAAAGCGCAGTCGCGAAGTACGTCGTGCACACAAAATCTTCGAGGAATCCAAGACTTAGCGCTGATATCTTGACGACTGCGGTGTTATCCGTGGAACTTCCGTACATATTCACTAGAGTTTTGAGAGCGAGACAGCGACTGACGGAGAAGTAGAACTGGACAAAAGCGTAAACGATGAGCCATCCTAACCACGGAAGAGAGCGTATGTCCACCGCTCGAAAGTCCTCGAATCACCAACTCCATTCTTTACTTTTTTGTAGCGTTTTCATTTGGGATGACGTGCTCGTCCCTGTTGAACGAGCGTAGATCGGAAAAACGAAGCCGAGTTGAATCCATGTCGCTCTGGTGGCGATGGAGCCGTGCCCTTGATTCCATGGAGGTTTCTCCGCCACACACTGAATTTAAAAATGAGATTGAGGCTGATACGGAGTTATCCTGGTACTGTCCCATTAGAACGTATTACTTCAGTAAAATGTAATCGACGTGACATTATTCACTCCTGGAGCAAATCTAAAAACAAGACTCATCGGTGGGATTAGTGTCAGCGGACTCATCAATCTCTGATGGTGGGACTCAGCAAGGCGTTTATTTCACACTATGCGATAGGGCACAGATTCGATAGAGTTTTATTTAAAAAAAAATACTTTATTCTGTATCGTGATGCTGATATATCCACTGCCCAACTAACGTTTGATATAACATTTGTACAGCTGGACAATATCTTCAAGCGGACACGCGCTATTAATAAGCCAATCGTAATAACGCATTTCGCAAGAAAAACCGACGGGTGAGAAATTTGCAGAACGTTTTCTTTCACTTATTTTCGAGCGCACTCTGTAATCCATCTGTACCCACTCTCCCACAGTTCACCTGAGAGTTCAAGAACGATGCCACGAGGACGAAAGCGTGCTCCTGGGGGCGGCAGCCGACAAGCGATTAAATACGATAACCTGGTTGTTTACATCCAATTAGTGTGTTTCGCTCGTCAGAAATGTTTACCTCACGTCCAATCGCAAAAGGCGAGAGACGGTCTGATCGTGCGACAAATCCAGTCATTGTCGCAGGTCGGTAAATATTGACCAATACGCGCGCAGTGTGACGTTGCTGGGTATACATGTATTAAGATAGTCGGTAAGATGAAACCTATATATAAGAAAGGCCGAGTATACTCATGCGAAAAGGAAGGTCAAAGCAGGAAGACAGGGAATGCGTGACAGATAAGTCCGTACAGTATTATAAACAATTCGGAACTAACAGTTTCTTTTATTTCTCAAACTGTTTACTGTTTATCTTATAAGTTCTGAATAAGCACATAATACCAAACCCTAAAAAAAAAACTACTGTATTGGTAAGACCATGGACTTCGTTTAACGCCGGTAAACGATCACTTTACTATTTGCATTCCAGCCCCCAAGCTCTTCATATTCTCGGCCAACGTTCAAAAACGTAATATGCGTCTGATAGCGGGCGTGTTGGCAGGTTTTCTGATAATCTGCGAAGCCACTTCGGCGAGTGAGTCCGACCATACCATGGCGTACCAGACGGCCGGCACGGATAATACTCAGCCCACTGACGCTGTGGAAAACAGCATCGCGAGCAAGCGGTTTCTAAGGGCCGACGTGGTCATGAACCGTGGCGTAGAGAGAATCTTCGAGGCTCTGAAAAACCTGCTACCTGGAGCCAAGATAGTCGCGAAGGACGGGGCGTCATTTTCCGGGACAATCGTGAGAAAAATGCTTGGCGATAAAGCCTTTCGGAAACAAGAGTTTGAGCGCTGGATTCGATCTGATATAGACGGAACAGCCCTTCGGCAAATGCTTGGGGACATGAATAAGAAAGGAAGAGCGGAGCTTCTAAACAGATATACTGCTTTCCTTGGCTCAAAGGATGGACTTGTATACTACAAGCCAGGGCCTATTGCCTAGGAGAGTGACAGTTTCAATACGAGTTAGGTCGCTTTTCAATCAACATGACGCCGGCTTTTTCATCAATTCAGACATCAATTCGAAACACCGCAAGTTACGGTTATTTTACATCGTACTTAAGGAACTCGACAGCTAGGCAGCGGACTGCTTTGAATACCGGTAACCACCGAAGCGGTTACATCGTTAACTCTTGAATAAAAAATATTTTTTTAAAAAAACTATCGTAATTTTCTTTAGTTTATAAATACCGTCAGTTTAGGGACTCAACACTGTATTTTCTCAAATAGCACTCATATATAGCCAGGGCATCCCTGTAGCACCCAACGACTCGCTAACAGTTTTTTATAGGCCAATTTTCTACAAATAGTTGCAAGCCTAGGATATTGATCTCACTCGACGATGAGCGCGCAATTCATCGATGCGTTGGTGCAGCTTGTCTAACAAGTAGACTATGGCCCTCGGAAGCACGACCTGCAGAAGATCAAGTCCCGCATACCGTACATGAAGGACCGATACGTGCTGGGCGCGTGTGATGGATTCGGAGGCACCAGCACTGGTGTTCGTTGGCTCGTGTGATTTGGTGGCAGGGGTACGTGGGTATACACGTATTCCGAACGACCCCCAGCATGTCTTTGACATCCTCGGAACAACCAACATTCGGGAGTTCGTAGAGAAGGGTGCAAGGGAGGAGCAAGAAGAAGGCCGATTTTATTCGTCGGGCCAGTACAGCGTACACCTGCCAAACTACTACTCCAAGCTCGTATTTCCGCACAGCGAAGCCTATGTGTATAGGTCTGAATACTGGCTTCAATCTGGAAACCGTGAGTCCCCCATACACGTCGACCACGGTCGTGTGATTTCGTACCTACCCCCGTGCGCGAAGACGGCCTTCAAGATTTGGGTGGTATTTCCATCAGCTTCTAAGGCGACCACATCCTTCAACTACGGAATCAAGGAGGACTCCTTGAATAGGACCTACGTACGCCTGGAAGTTCGGTGCTTATCCAACGACCCGGCGATGTCGTGTGCTCGAATAACCTGGTGTTTCACTCGGTACTTCTCGTCTACCAGAAGGGCACTGCTGAAAAATACAAATGGGGCGGTGTTTTGGCGACGTTGTGGTTTGTGAAGTGGACCGCGTTGCATCGTTTCGATATGCAACCAAGCTGGCATCAGGAAGCAAAAAGGATTCTGTTGGATCGTGGGAGTCTCTGCTAACAGCGTACTCTACGATGGAGGGACGTGTGTATGACCAGGCAAACTTCGAGCGTGAGAAGAAGCTATTCTATTAAAAGTTAAGGGCTCTGAGAAAGCTCGTCGAGGCGCGAATGCGAAGAAAAAGAAGAAGCGGAAACGGAATGAGAAGCTAGCTGCCGTATGGGCTGCCAAGCACCAAAATTGACTGCAGTACACTTTGCTCCTAATCAGAATTCAAACTTCTGATAATGCATTTCTTTTTGCATCCTAACTTGCACTTTCGATTTGGGGGACTGTTTCGACGTACAGGTAGTTTTCAAA